TTAAAAGTGCTTTTGTCCTAAACAATCTTTGTTCCATGATTGACTTGGAATCTCAGGGAAATAAAAAGGAATTCATATATGTGCTGAATTTATAGGGAATAAAAGCATTATGGTGAGAGAAAGGAAGGGAATTTGGGACAAATACTAAGAAAGATCCAAAGGTTTTTCCTTCAGAAAGAAATTTCTGTTATTTAATCCATACATTTGACTTGGGCCCATAGGATGGAAGGTGATTAGGGATTGTGGCTAAAGAGAAGGCTATATTTTAGGTTAAAAAATAAGACATAGCACAGAGGAAAATGACTAGTCCAAGTTACAGCTTTGAGGCTAAACCATAAAATCAGAAATATGCCATTTTTATATATTTTAAAATTATGTTTTCACATTTGCGGTTTGAAAAGTATGGGTTAGATTTGATTCCCAGTACATTTGGGACAGTAAAGATAAGCTATATTTTTGCATGTGAGGGAACAGTTTGGGGGTTATCTCAGTTACATTGGTTTAAAACAGAAATACAAGACAAGTTGGTGAAGTCAGTGAAGAAAATGAAGAGAGTAAATCCTAAACTTAAAATAAAAGGAAATCTCAGTGGCAATGGAAAAGGTGAAAAAATAAAACAAAAGGAAATCAATCAAAATGGGTGATATGTTTTGGCTCTGTGTTTCCACCCAATCTCACCTTGAATTGTAATAATCCCCACATGTCATGGGAGGGACCCAGTGGGAGGTAATTGAATTATGGGGGTAGCTCTTTCCCATACTGTTCTGATGATAGTGAGTAAGTCTCATGAGATCTGATGATTTTATAAAGGGGAGTTCCCCTGCTCATGCCCTCTTACCTGCTGCCATGTAAGATGTTCCTTTTCTCTTCCTTCATCTTCTGCCATGATTGTGAGGCCTCCCCAGCCATGTGGAACTGTGAGTCCATTAAACCTCTTTCCTTTATAAATTACCCAGTCTCTGGTAGGTCTTTATTAGCAACATGAAAACGGACTAATACAATGGGTTTGACTTATTTGACTGTTGATAAAACTTTCTAGGCCATCAAGCATTTAAAGCAGTTAAGGTGATTTTTATATAACCTCAGGGTTCCCTGTCTGCGGTTCAATGGTCTAGGCAGAGCAAGAAGGAAATTCGTATTTTCCATTTTTCTTGTGGTGATAGGGAGATTTTAACTAATTAGAATAGTAGTAAATGAATAACGATCCCAAGTGATTTTCTTCCGTGTTGCTCGAAAGATATGTTTCAAGTTTAGCCGCAAATGATGACATTTTTTTATTAATGAGTTTTTTTTGTGAGTAAAGGATATGGGATTGGACTCAGGCAATGGGATAGATGATGCTGAAGCCCCTCAGGAGGTAGGAAACCCCTCATACTCAATGGTTTTATAGGCATCAGGGAGCCCCCTCCACTTTTTCTTATGCTCTCCCACAGGCTGAGACATAAAATGGTCTTTTTTTTTCTTTTTTTTTCTTTTATGATGCAGTTTCACTTTTGGCACCCAGGCTGGAGTGCAATGGTGTGATCTTGGCTGACTGCAATCTCCGCCTTCTGGATTCAAGTAGCTGGGATTACAGGCACGCACCACCAAGCCCAGCTAATTTTTGCATTTTTAGTAGAGATGGGATTTCACCATGTTGGCCAGGCTGGTCTCAAACTCCTGACCTCAGTTGATCTGTCCACCTTGGCCTCCGAAAGTGCTGGGATTACAGGCATGAGCCACCACCCCTGGCCATAACATGGTCTTGTTTTGGCTTGAAGCTTTATATATTTTAAATACTTAAATGCCTACAGATAGAGAAACATTTACCATTATCCTTCACAGAAAAAATGGCACATATGTGACCTTCAGGCGTCCCCTTCCATGAAAGCCATTGAGGATCAACCTCAGATTTCTTCCCCAGTGCACCTGCTTTCAAGAATTGCCTCTTAACCCAGCTGTCCAGGAAGTCATTCGGAAACTATTAGACTTCATATGCAAGCTGACATCGACATAATTCTCCTCATGTGTATCTTATGTCAATGAGTTTATTGAATCTTACGTGAATGAGTCTATTGAGTCAGAGCAAATTTTGAGAGTAAGAAAGGAAAGAAAGTATAAGGTTTTTGGATTTGAGGGAAAAACTCAGATGTTACCAGCAAGGGTGGGTTATAAATTTTGTCTATAACTTTTTATAGAGGTAGACATACTATATATAGAACATCTAGTACTAAGTGCCACATACCATTATTATTACTTTGTGTTTGTTATGCCATTTTTTCTTCACAGCAGCTTTAGGGGATGGGGAGAGGTCTCAGTTGTACAGTGGAAGAAACTGAACCTTCATGATATTTAAATGATATGTAAATGCTGTTTCACCTTGGTCAAGGCATTTAAACATAATGGAGATTCCGGTCGGGCATGGTGGCTCACGCCTGTAATCCCAGCACTTTGGGAGGCTGAGGCGGGTGGATCACTTGAGGTCAGGAGTTCAAGACCAGCCTGGCCGACATGGCAAAACCCCGTCTCTACTAAAAATACAAAAATTAACTGGGCATGGTGGCACGCATCTGCAGTCCCAGCTACTTGGGAGGCTGAGGCAGGAGAATCACTTGATCCCGGGAGATGGAGGTTTCAGTGAGCCGAGATCACACCACTGCACTCCAGCCTGGGCAACAGAGCAAGACTCCATCTCAAAAAAAAAAAAAAAAAAAAAACCCAAAAACCCTTGAGGTTCCCTTCTTTCCTGGGTACTCTGCAATTGTATACATTGCCTCCAGAGTTGTATAGAATCACATCAATAACATGAGAATCTTCTCAAAGTAGACCGCATTTTCAGTGCTATGTTCCTTAGTAACAAAATTAAACATTAATTTGAGTGGACTAAGAATTGAAACTTCTATTTCTTCAACCTTTGTTATTTCTACCTGATAAGTAATAATGCAGCTCCTTGGAGATGATGTAAAATCATGATATTTTTCCAGTATGGATAATATTTATCTAAATTTTCCTTATGAGTTCTCTTCTGTGATATTTAATATATTCATGTTGACAATTAAATTTTGAAATTTTGTTGCACATATTCATCTGATAAATTTTTTAATACTTTGGCGATATTTTGTAATAAATAACTCATATTGGACAAATAAATAACACTACTGAGGATGGCACAGTCAGTGATTTTTAGTAAGTGTGAGTTTTGGATGTAATGGCCTTATAGTTTCAATTTTAAAGTTACTGATTTGAACAAGAATTTTACCAGGCCTTTTATATACAGCAGACATAGAACTGGTTATATATTGGATCACTTTTTATATTCCTAATGAGTATGGGGCCACTCTTTTTATTTTCAATATCAGTTGACCTTATAAAGGACAGTTTTAACATTCATTTCAAACCAGAAATAGCAAGTCTATTTTTATAGTAATTCTTTTGTGTTGTCATGCTATTATTTAAGCACCTACTATATGCCAACATCATACTGCAATGCTAGTTAGAATGTTGAAAAAAAATGATGACCAATTATTGCTGAGTGTTGAGAGCGCCTTCCTTCCATGTTCTCTCGTCCTCTCTCCTGTGCACAGCCACAGTCTGCTCTGCAGCATCCCTGACACAACCTGCCACAGCTCAAACGCATCCTCTAATGCTCATTAATAATAACACTTATAACCACTTAATAGGTACCAGGCCTCCTACTACACATTTCACAGTAATTCATTTAATCTTCTCCATAACCCTGTAAAGTAGAACTCCATTGTATAGAACAAAAATCTGAGGCACAAAGAGGTTAAGAAACATGATCAACAGCCAGTAAGTAGAGTAGTTGAGCCGGGCTTGGAACCTAGACAATCCTGCTCTGTATCAGCGTATTTAACCTATATTCAGGTGTCTGAGCAAGAAGAAGCTTGAGTAATCCAGCCTGGACAGGTGAGTATCTGCGTAGAGTGAGGCAGTGTGAGCGATGAGAAAGCAGCAAATCTGAGAAATCCTCCAAAGAATAAACAGAAGTAGATGTGAGATTGAATACAGACGCTAAGGAGAAGAGCCATGCCAAACAGCATGCCAGAGACTAATGGAATGGTGGTATGCCCCTGGCCAGTGGGGTATTTGAGATGGGAAATGGTTTAGAGAAAAAAGTCATGAGCTCCACTTCGATCTGTTTAATCTGAGGTGATGGGATCAACTCCAAATTGACTGGTATGACACACAGATGTGATGAAATGGCAAAGCAGTGTGGCATGGTAGAAAAACATCAGATATGGAACGACAAAAAGCAAGTTCAAGCTGTGAGGCTGATGCTAGTACCTCTGTGACACCATGCAAGTTTCTTTGCTTCTCTGAGCCCCAGTTCACTTTCCTGTGATTAATTTCCTTTATTATGCCATTAGAAAGTTTAGACTAAAGTGGCGTGCCATGGAACAGACAGCCAATTAAAGGTAGAATGAAGATCACATGCCTAAATGAACTACCTTTCAGAATGTATTAATCTGAACAATATCTATTTAGGGGAAAAGGAATAATCACATTGTTAAGTCAGAGCTAGGATGGCCATATCATATGGTCCAAACCAGTACCCTTTTAAGAGTGAAAATATGTGCTCTAAATAAATACACCAGAACAACAGGGATTCTGGTGTAATTGTGGGACTGTCATAGAAAAGGAATACAAATGGTTACGGTACTCACAGCCACCAGAAGAGGTACTTCTGAAATAGTCTTTATAGAAACCACAATTTGTGGTTTCCAATTTTGAATGAAAATAATCCTGGATGAAAATGGGTATATTCAGGATGTGATTTCCAGCTGAGAACCTTCCTTATGGACTGTATCCAAAGACCAGTTCCTTTCTCCCCTCTTCCTTAGCAGCGTTCCCCACCCCACTACTCTCCTTTGGTTCACACAAGACACTCAAGCCACTGTAGTCATTTGGTCGTCTAGAAAAAGGAGTGACTTCATTGTATTAATATGTCTGATGTCCTCTCCATTGCTAATACTTGTTCATTTCTGATTGCTGCCTTATAGTTGCTCCGCTCAGCTGCCGATTGGTCTGCTGGTATAAAGTACCATGAAGAGTCCATCCATGCCGCTTACGTCCATGTGATAGAGAACAGCAGGCACTATATCTATATCGAAGTAAGTCCTGCTCCTGTAAATTCATGTGAGAAACTGCCTTCCCTTAAATATCATGCCGAGATTTCAGAGTCCCCAAACTTAGGACCTGTCATATTAATGAGTACATTTTGAGATGTGAAACGTGCTGGAGAAGCTCTGGTTCATATCACCTGGATTTTGACCTCCCAAGCATACCTGGAATTGGCTCTGCATTGTCATTAACTCAAGACTCTATTGGGAGTCTCCCAAATCTTTGCTATTAAAATGCATCATCAACTCACTGTAATAGTATTAGACAGAAATACCCCAACATGGATATGTAAGTTTTGATTTCGCTTGGGTTGGAGGGTTTAAGTGTGAAGCAAGTTCTATTTCAGGAGAGCACACACAGGGGTGAGTTGCTAAAATAGAGACCACTGGATGCTACTGGTTTGGGCATGGCGGAGTAGGGAGACTGCAGGGAAAAGAACATGGAAAAGGAAGATGTGAGAACATTAAGAGCAGGTACCACCTTCTTCAATCCTGTGTGAACTACTATTCATTATGAAGCTTTTTTTCATTCCAGAATTTTTAGAGTATATGAGAAAATCTGGGGACACTGAGTTTAGCTTGGGAACTTAAATTACTCTTCAAAGTGAATATAAAAATAGTTCAGAGAACTTGAAAAACCCTGAGAAAATAAAACCCTGAGAATATAAAAATAATGGAAAAAATAAATCATAGCATAATTTCCTTCTTTATTCAAGTCTTTTCTTTCCCAATGAATGTTTTAAAGGTAGATAGGGGAATGGGTTAACTGAGGAAAACCATTCTAGCCCTGTTTTTCTTCCCCTTGGGTCCTGGCCCTCTCCCACTCTGCATAGCAACAATTCATTACAGACAAGCAGGGAAGAATTGGAGCTTTATTTGTTTCATGAGCCTGGCTAGAGAAACCTAAGTTAAATATAATATATTAGTTGGCTAAATGCAGTGTGGTATCCTGAATGGCATCATGGAATAGATATAGGACATTAGTGGAAAATGAGCAAACTCTGCATAAAGTCTGGAGCTTAGTAATGCTATTAGTATTATTAATTTCAATAATTATACCATAGAGATGTAAAGATGTGAAGGCTGGCTCCTCTATTGCCCAGAATCTTTTTGCTTCATCTCTTTTTAGTAGTATTAACATCAGCTTTTCTGGCTGGGCACAGTGGCTTACGCCTGTAATCCCAGCACTCTGGGGGGCCGAGGCGGGCAGATCACCTGAGTTCAGCAGCTCGAGACCAGCCTGGCCAACATGGTGAAACCCCGTCTCTACTAAAAATACAAAAAAAATAAAAAATAAAAAAAATAGCCGGGTGTGGTGACGGGCACCTGTAATCCCAGCTACCTGGGAGGCTGAGGCAGGAAAATCACTTGAACCTGTGAGACAAAGGTTGCAGTGAGCTGAGATTGAGCCATTGCACTCCAGCCTGGGTGACAAAAGTGAGACGCTCTCAAAAATAAAATAAAATAAAATAAAATAAAATAAAATAAAATAAATAAATGAATAAAAATAAATAAATAAATACAAAATCAGTTTTTCTTTTTCATGTGACCGTAGTATTAAATGATGTCAGTAATGCCATGTAGGTAGACATGTTGGGACACAGACCTGGTTGACACTTCTCTAGTCAAGATAAGCAGTCAGCATTCACCCGACTCTTCCAAAAAAGGAGAAGTAAAGGACACGACATGTAGCCAGTCTGTGTTTACAGCTGCTGAGGAATGCTAAGCTTCTTTATAATATGAATTCAGAAAAAGAAACATGGTTTGGTTGCCACTGAGATTTTGATTGTCTGATGCCCTAAGGGGAATCACATTCTCAAAAGACTTTCTGCACCGTGTCTTCCCATAAGTTTGTCTTCTGGAGGCATTTTACAGATTTATGCACTTAAGTATACAAGCTCATATAGTCATAAACATGATAATGCTGCAAAGGGATGATAATTACGAGTTGTTACATATATATCTCTTTACCTTGGGATGATTAGCAAATACTACTTTGTGATAATTGTCCTTATAAATTACAGATGCGTTGTAACAATCTATTCTATTTGAACACATGATATTCATAATATTTGCACCAAATTTTTAACATTCCTTTATGCAGCAACAAAATCTTTTGCACTGTTATGATAATGTCGTAACTTGTTTTCTAGTAACAGTTTTAAAGACTATTTTGTAGATATATAAATAGCAGAAGTACTTAGAGGAAAAAAACATTTATTTTATTTTATTAACTGGCTTATATGTATGCAACATACAAAAGAGAGTTGAGGCTACTTAAAATAGAAGTTCAGAGATAATAAGATACCCAAACAAACAAGACAAGGTGAAAGCAGATACCAGGAAATAATGGAGAAAGGGTGGAGAAAACTAGACCAGGCTTTTGCCATCTACCCTGTTATAAAAGCAAGCTTAGCATGAGGTAGGATGTTTGCCAATATAGAATTTTTAATCATAAGAATTTATACAGTGTGTGAATCTGAAAGAAACTAATTTCCCTATTGATTGAATTTGCAATGTTCCTAAGTATTCTGAGAATGTAATTTAGAAAATCACCTATGAGGAATTCTCATGGTGGAATAATATAGTGTAACTTTCCACTTGATTAAGTGTTATAGGGTGATAAGACCTGGAATCAAATGAGACCCAGAGTGAGATGAGGCAGCTTTTATTCTGTGTCATTGACTTTCTTGATGTGATTTCAATGATCAGAACACATCTGCTGTGTGAAACATTTTAAAATATATATCAGTGTATTTTTTATTTACCATATTGTCCTTACGTATACTGCTTACAAAATAAAGACTAACATGATTGTCTTGTTTATTTCTCATAGAACCAGTTTTTCATAAGCTGTGCTGATGACAAAGTTGTGTTCAACAAGATAGGCGATGCCATTGCCCAGAGGATCCTGAAAGCTCACAGGTAACAGCCTTTGGCTGGGAGTTTTTGCTACAGATGTTCTTGTATTTATTACTAAAATGACTTTGCAAGGCCCATTTTTAGAGTACTGTCATTTCCTAGCAGGCTTAAATTTGGTTCAGCCAGCAATAGGTTACTGATGCCTTTAGTCTGAGTCAGTTGCTAAAAATTCTTTAGTCCCCTTTCTAGGGAATTTGAATTCTTCCAGGGCACAAAAATTTCTTCCTGGCCAGTCTGTTTCCCACACATGAGGTTTGTGATTTGTTTTATTTAATAGCAGACTATGAGCTGTATTCACTTAAAAAACAAAGCAAAATAGACATAATATTTTGCTGTGGGTTATGTTTAAATTCTTGTCACCATATGTCATATTTATTCAGCTCATGGGATTATTTCTTTAATAATTGGTTTGCTGTGATAGAATTTACATACCGTACAATCCAGCCACTTAAACTATAGAATTCAGTGATTTTTAGTATATTCACAGAGTTGCACAACCACCACCTAATCAATTTTAGAACATTTTTATCAACCCAGAAAGAAACCCCATTAGCAGTCATTACCCATTCCTTCGTTTTTTAGCCCCTGGCTACCACTGATTTTTCTTTTTCTATAGATTTGCCTAGTCTGGGCATTTCATATAAATGGAGTCACACAGTATGTGGTCTTTTATGACTGATTTCTTTGTCTTAGCATAATGTTCTTGAAGCTCATCAGTATTATAGCATTTATCAGTATTTCATTTCTTTTTATTGCTAGATAATATTCCATGACGTGGATATACCACATCGTATTTATTCATTCATTAGTTGGTGGACATTTGGGTTGTTTCTACTTTTTGCCTATTATGAATAATGCTGCTATAAACATCCTTTACTAGTTTTTGTGCAGATATATATTTTCATTTCTCTAGGGGTAGAATTGCCAGGTTATAGCTAACTCTATGTTTAACATTTTGAGGAACTGCCAGACTGTCTTCCAAAGCGGCTCTGCCATTTTATATTCCCACAGTGTATGAGAGGTCTAGCTTCTCTGTATTTGCCAATAGTTACTATTATCTCTCTCTTTGATTATAGTCATTCTAGTAGACGTGAAATACCGTTTTAGAAATGGTATTTCATTGTGGTTTTCATTTGAATTTCCCTAATGTCTAATGATACTGAGCATTTTTGTGTGTGCTTATTGGACATTTGTGTATTATCTATGGAGAAATATCTACTCAGATCCCTTGCCCATTTGTTCACTGGGTTATTTGACTTTTTGTTGTTGAGTTGTAAGAATTCTTTATACATTCTAGATACAAGTCTCATATCAGATACATGATTCCCAGTTTCTCCCATTCGACGGCTTGTCTTTTTACTTTCTTGTTGGTGTCATTTGAAACGGAAAGTATTTTTTATTTTGATAAAAGCTAATCAGCTTCTATTTTTTTCCTTGTATCCCTTGTTCTTTTGGCATCTAAGGAATATAGATAGTGCTATCTAAGAAATCACTGCCTGATCTAGGATCATGAAGATTTATGCCTGTTTTCTCCTGAGAATTTTATAGTGTTAGCTCCTACATCTAGATCTTTGACTCATTTTGTTTCTTTTTATATATGGGGTGAGTTAGGGGCCCAACTTTTTATTCTTTTGTTGATGGATATAGAGTTGTCCTAGTACCATTTGTCAAAAAGACTATTCTTTCCACATTGAATTGTCTTGGCACCAGGTACAATTTCTTTTTATGGCTGATTTCAGCTCCATGTAAAAGTAGCAGAATAAACACGTAAACACAACCATTATATTTCATTACTTCAAGTCATTGAATGCATGCAGTGAAGAGTAAGTGCATATACATTTGGGAATTAAAACATTTTTTACTTCCAGTGTCATGTGGTACTTTGATCTCTTTTTTTCACATAATATTTGGGGACTTTTATACTGAAGGACATATTACAACAGTAACTATCAGCATTTTATGTGATTCACAGTTTATAACTACATTACCTCATAGAATCTTCACAACTACTCTTGAGAGTGGGTCATGTATTTGTTGTTGTTATTGTTATTATTGCTGTTGCTGCTGTTCCCATTTTTAGGATTAAAAACCGAAATTCAAGAGGTTATGTGACTTGTTTAGGCCACTAACAGCAATAGGTAAAAAACAGCTTTGAGCCTAAATCTTTGGACTTTCAACCCAGTGCTCTCCCTCACATGACTCTAATGCATTGATGGTTAGGATTAAAAACCCATTCAGGGCTTCCCCAAGCTGAGGCAAATGTGTTGGGCCTATAGTTCCCTTCCCCTATTGACTGACCATTGGATGCAGGCTGATCCTAGGGAGTGGGGATGACCTTGAGTGAAGCAGGTCCCTTTCACCTATGGAGGACTCTATACTTTTCATACCTGGAGGACTTCACTGTGAGTGTTCTGTGGCCTACATGCTCAGTAGCTAATGGGATGGCTGTCTCGATCCCATGGTGAGAGGATCTAGGCAGCACACTATAGCATCCATCACATCCTGCAGGGTGTACAGTGGATCTCACCTGTGACTACGCATCAAAATCACCACTGACTTTTGCAAGATTGCAGAGAGCTTAACACACCTCCAGGCTTAATGGATCATAATTTCCTGGAGTGGGGTCCGGCATCCGTATTTTATACTGCCCCAAATATGTGTTTTTAAGTGTTTGGGAGCCTGAAAGAATATTTTTCTTTACTGTAGTAATTTGTCTTTAAAAATCTGGACTTCTAAAATAATAAAATTAGCCTGGGCATGGTGGTTCATGCCTGTAACCCCAGCACTTTGGGAGGCCGGTGGGTGGATCAACTGAGGTCAGGAGTTTGAGACCAGTCTGACCAATGTGGTGAAACTCTGTCTCTACTAATAATACAAAAATTAGCTGGGCTTGATGGTGCATGACTGTAGTCCCAGCTACTCAAGCTCCTGTGGTAGGAGCTTGAACCTAGGATGCGGAGATTGCAGTGAGCCGAGATCATGCCATTGCACTCCAGCCTGGGTGACAGATCAAGACTCTGTCTGAAAATAAATAATAGATAAATAAGTAAATAAAATTATAACATTTTAGGGTTAGAAGAAACTTCAAGATATTTTCTGATGGAACATTTCCCAGTGATCTTATCAGCTGCTCCTGAAAGGAAAAGGGATCTGTGACTTTAAACAGTATGGTAAAGTAGCACCTGTTGCAGATTGTATCTTACACTGGAGTTTGATGGAGCACATTAAAGACTCTGGCAATTTCAAGTTTGCTTTGTGGAAAATGGGGAATTCATTGATCAAATTTCAAATAAACCATGTGTCATTTCGCTCTGATCTCTCGATAGTCTCATTTTTTTGAGAGGCACATTTTCAAAATGGTACATGTGTCACACATTTAGACTTTCCGTGGATACACACACGCATCCTCAAAACATATTTTACGTTTTTCCCCCTCTCTGCATCTCTGCATTCTTGTTAATCTCCCTATGTTAACTGCAACTGTAAAACATATTTTTGCTTAATTTCAAATCTGTGAGCTTGTGTTCTGTGAGCTTGTGCTGGGCAAGGTAAAGGCAGAATTAAAAAGCTTATCTTGGGCAGGTGTGGTAGCTCACATCTATAATCCCAGCACTTTGGGAGGCAGAGGCGGGAAGATTGCTAAAGGCTAGAAATTTGAGACCACCTGTCTTTACAAAAAATAAAAAAAAATCCAGGTGTGTTGGTGTGCCTGTAGTTCTAGCTACTTGGAGGCTGAGGCAGGACGATTCCTTCTAGCTACTTGGAGGCTGAGGCAGGAGGATTCCTTAAGCCTGAGTGTATGAGGCTGCAGCGAACTGAAATCGCACCGCTATACTCCTGCTTAGAGGACAGAATGAGGACTCGTCTCTAAAATAAATAAATAAATAAAAATAAAATAAACGACTTATTTTGCAGGTTGCTGGCATGGGGTGCCCCCTTTTCACTAATTAGGGGCCATGATATGCCATCCCAAGCTTACCCCTCTCTCTCCATAGACTTCTCTGTAGTCTTCTTTTCTGAGACTCAGAACTTCCCTGCCAAAGTCACATTCTTAGCAACAAGTATAATTTTGGCTATTTGAAAAAGAATAGAATACAACCCAAAGCAGATGGAGGGAAATGACAGTCCACAGTCAGCCAGGCCTCACCAAAGGATACAGGCCCTCTGCCAGGTCCCTCCCACCCTGGAGAAATCTGAGTCTTCAAATTGCCAACTCCCTCAACTGGGCTAAGTCTTTACTTTTCTGCCAGCGCTGGAATCCAGCCTCACAACAATTCACCTAAGCAATTTCTCGGTTCCTCTCATTTCCTCTGGTTCCTTCTCAGCAGCCATAATTCTTTATAGAAATAGGTTTGCAAAGCCTCCATATTCTGACATGACCTAGAGCTTCAGACTCATGTTTATTCCATGCTGACCTAAGAACAGCCAGGGGAATCAAAATTAAAAACAAAAAAAATCTTCACTCTAATAAGTAAAACTGTCTCAGAGTTGAGGCCAGCTGCCCAATCCACTTGAAACCTTTCTTTGACAACTCAAATGTGATTGGACATCAGAGAGGAAAAAAAAAAAATCATAATCCACAGTCTAAAATTTACTGTTTTATGCCATGTTTGACTAAGCTAAAAGATAGGACCAACTGATCCAGGTAGACACATTTTTAAACACTGTGTGCCATGAATGAATGGTTTCTGAGGAGGATCTCAGATCTTTGCACATGGAAACTTGACATGCATAATTTTTCTGGTTTGGTAGAAAGTCAGGAAGTGAGAAAGTGCATTTTACAGTGTTAGCAACAAAAAGTTGACACATGCAATGAAAATAGGCAGTTGATTTAATGCTTTTGTGTTTTAATATTAAACTGCATTGAAAAATATGCTATTTAACTACATTAAAAATACAGTTTTGAACATTGTTCAAACTTACCATGCTTCCTTTTTTTTTTAAAAAAAAAAAAAAAAACAGAGCCTTGCTCTGTTACCCAGGCTGAAGTGCAGTGGCAAAAT